GTATCACTAAAATTATCTAATGCATTCATCTCATATGATGGTCTTACCCGAAGAACAGTCCATTATTTGTGACTCATTGTGAGGAGAGGGTATCAATGTGTAATTCTTGAGCCCTGCATATAGAGGTTTTAACAGTACTCTTATTTACCCTTTACTGAAACATTTTGAAGTTGATAATATTCTCATTCTACACATGAGAAAACTGAGGTTAAAAAGCTACTATGAATTGTCCAAGGCTTGTAAATGGTTGAGTCAGAATTGTAACCACGTCCAATTCCACAGCCCCAAATCTAAAGGACTCACTTTACATTATTGTCTGTAGCATGCATGTATTTGTTTTACGGGGCGGCTGTAAAAAAAAAAAAAATCCCCACAAACTTGGTGTCTTAAAATAACAAATATTTGTTCTCTCACAGTTATTGAGGCCAGAAGTCCAAAATCAAGGTGTTGGCTTCTTCTAATGGCTCTAGGGAAGAATCCTTCTGGCCTCTACCAGCTTCACAGTTTTCATTCGCTTATGTCAGCATAACTCTAGTTAACAGCTCCATCTTTGCCTGGTCTTTTCCCCTGTGTTTCTGTGTCTCTTTTCCTTTTTTGTCTCTTATAAAGACATTTGTCATTGGATTTAGGACTCACCCTAATCCAAGAAGATCTCATTTAGAGATCCGAATCTTAATTACATTTACAAAAACCCTTATTGCAAATAAGATCACATTATGAGGTTCTGGGTGAACATACCTTTTTGGGGACCACTGTTTAACCCATTACAATGGGCATGGCTGAAGTTTTTCTAAACCTTTTTAAATTGTGAAATATGACAAAGTACAGAAAAATATGTAATACATACTGTACAACATAGTTAATAATTATAAAGGGATCACCTGAGTAGCCACCACCTATATGGAGACAGAGAACATTCCCAGCACTTTGAAAATGCATTGTTTCTTTTAATAATCAGTCATCTCTCATCCCTGTTTACAAGAATGAGCCTGACTTTATGGGAATGACTTCCTTGCTTTTCTTTAAAATTTTACTTATATAGTAAAAGAATACAGTTTTACATATTTTTATATTTTATATAAATGAAGCATAATTGTGTATCTTGTTTTGTGTTGTCCTTCCATTAATTTTACAAGAATCACATGTATCACTGATGGTGGCTGTAGTTAATGTATTTTCTTTACAACTTAGTTACTTTTCTTGCATATGTGTGTTATATATATATATTTGGCTATCACAAGTGCTATTATTATGAAATTTCTACTTGTTCTAGTATAACTGCAGTTTTATGTGAGATACATATTTATTAGATGATGAAGTTTTTCAAAGCAATGGGAGCAGTATACCCCTAATCAGCAGTTTATGTGAGTTCCCATTGCTCTCACGTATTTAATAGCTCATAGTGTTGGCTGACATTTTAGTTACCTGATGATTTAAAGGTGTGCAGTCCTATTCTATGATAGTTTTCACTTAAATATCCCTAATTATCAATGATATTGAAAATGGTTTCGTAGTTTTGTTGGAGTTACACTTCTTTAGAACCAGATGCAGATTCCGAAGTCTCGTACTAGATCCAAGCCAGTGAGGAAAGCTTCATCTCTAAGGTGATGGGCTGGGCAAGGGAAGTGTTGAAAAAGTGGGACCTTTTGACCCTATATACACAAAGACGTGAAAATATAGTAGTGGCCTGATAAAAATTTTAAAAACACAATGTCTAGGTTCATGCAGTACTTTTAGATAAGTATGGTCACAGTTGTGAGACTTTCTAATTTCTGTTTACTTTCTAGCTTAAGGCTGTGAACGACTTATTGTTTAATTAATTCTTAGACATTATGATATTATCCATATAATACTGAATTTTAATGAAAATTTAGTTACCAAATAAGGGTGAATCTATCAGACTTGTATTAACCTACATGGTAAGCTATCTTCTGCACTTGCTTCTACCCATGGTCACTTTTTAGTGTCATTTTTCATTTTGCAAATTGTCATTAGCTCCTAGATTTACAACCCTAGTATACTTCTTTAAAGTAATGTTTTTGTGCTTTATAATTATAATCACATCTCTTTCAGAAGAAGAAAAAGAGAAAAGGGGGCCGTTATCAGTCTCTCAGATGAATTATATTCTATCATGCTGTTATTGGCCAAATGTATGTCTTACTAGTTGATATAGATTGACATCTGAGTCAATCTGTATTATCATTCTACTGGGTGTTGAGGATTTCCCTTAAAACCATGCTTTTCCATTTGCTTTGAGTCTCTTTGGCACCATCTCCTGCTGTTGTAATCATTAGAAGACCGTAGAGAGTGGAATTTCTCAAATACAGACAGTTGTATTCAGAACATGAGCCCTGCAGGCATTTCTTTTCATTTTTACTTAGCTTGGGATATACAGACACACCTTTGACTTCATATGCTTATTACAGAGCCTGAACGCAGTGTATGTTTCCTTCTGCTTTGAGATACAGATGGCAAAAATCCTTAGTCTGCCAAGAAACTGTATTTGCTTCTAAATTCTGACTGTCCCATTATATGACTTTGTTATATTAAGATTTTAATAGCGCAAATAAGGGTCAAGGCTTCTTTGTTGCTGAGATACTAAATCACTTTTTGGCTTTCTTATATCTGACAGTTCTTTTCCACTTCATCTTTAAAAGCGGAAGTTCATGAGCTTTTCATCCTGTGGAGTAGTTGGATTTTATTCATGTTCAAACTCTTTGAAACCTGCCAACCATATAAAAACAGTTGCCAATATGGGAGAAGTCTTCCTTGTGTTGTGATAGAAAGGGTTTCACTGTTGAGACATAAACGTAAAATAAAAATGTATTCCTCCATTTTTTAAAGACGCAAGTGCCTCCTTGTCCCAGGTGGCTTTCTACAGGAGAGAGGACCAAAGTGGGTCACTTGATAACGTTTTAGATCTCACATTATTTTTCAAACTATATATGTATGTGCTTACAAACATATGCATATATATCTGTATATGTACACACACATATGTATTCAATGTTAGAAACAGTTTCAATTTAATGGCAATGTCAAGTTATATATGAACTTTTCTTTGGACAAATGTTTTCCTTTTTTTTTTATTTTTGCATACTTTGGGGGCCATAATTGAGATTTAGGCACCAAGATTTAAAAAGTATTCAAAATGAGCTTTTTTTTTTTTTAACAGTGACTATCTCTTAACACAAGTATGGTTTTTCTCCACTGCCTGGATTGTTTTGTGGGTGGTATTGTTATCCATCTAATCATCTACAGCAGCAAACATGGGGTCATAGTTAAAAACATCAAACTTCTGTTGATTTTGCCTCTTCCATGTTTCCCAGTCATGTCTTTTCCTTCTGTTCAAACTGGTCTCCTCAGTTCCTAACATCCAGATTTTTCTAAGTTTCTATCTGGCCATTTTGTTTTCTGGTTTCTCTCTATTCCAGTGCATTATAAACATTACTTTTGTATCATTTTTTCAAAAATATAGTTCTTACCCCATTTTTTCCTGCTACAAAACCTTCCATAGATTCCTGTTATTATCAGAGTTAAAGTTTCAAATTTCTTAGAAACAGCACAGCTCAGTACAGCAGCTACTGGCTATATGTGGCTATTTACATTTAAGTATAAAATTAAAAGTAAATGAAAGAAATTGAGTTCCTCAATCACAGTGTCATTTCAAGTCCTCAAAATGCCACATGTTGGTAGTGACTACTAAATTGGACATCACTAATCTAGATTATTTCCATCATCACAGAAAGCTCTATTAGACAGCCCTGCCTTAGAATGTTAACACCATCCCTTCCATAGCCATTTCCAGCTTCCTTTTCCAGATTCATTTTCTTCTACATAGTGTCAGTACACCACTGTGATCCAGCCAGGTGCACGTACCTATTGTTGAAAGCATCAGTCATTCAATCAACAAATTCCCATTGAGCACCTTTGGTATAATAGGCACTATTATTCCATTAGGAGCACTGCCATGAATTAAAGCAAGGCAAAATAAAACTCTCTCATGAAGTATCTGTTGGTGGGGGGATTATAAACATCCAGAATATAAAAAATGTGAAATATCTGGTGGCAAGGGATACTAGGAAGAAAAATAAAAAATGGTAGTGTGTGGGAAACAGTAGGTGAGTGGTTACATGGGGTGTTCAAGAAAAGGCTTTTTTGATGAGGGGATATTTCAGTACAGCCCCAAATGAAGTGGTGCGATGAACCTCATAGCTCTCTGGAGAAGTATAAGTCCTTCATTCTACTGCCTTCAGGCTGTGCCTCTCCTACATTTGTGGGAATATCATTTGTAAAGGTCACAGAGTCATTAAGCGGGAGCCTCTTAACTTGCACAGAGGATTTTTGGTCTCAAGCCAGACTGTAATCAGCATCATAGACTGCTAGAGCTTGAGGCAACCATAAAAATCATCTCATCTATTTCCTAATTTTAAGAAGAAGGTAGCTAAGATTTAGACAGGTTAATTGGTTTGTTTTAAGTGATAAAGTGAAATGGCAATGGTAAAATGGCAGTTAGAACCTGGTCCTCAGTTCAGGACTGAATTGTCTGAATAATGAAATTCAAATAAAGAGGACCTCTGGAACCTTTTAAGAATGAAAATGTATATATACACACACACACACACACACACACACACACTTTTGGCTTTCTTCAGAAGTGTGTTGGTACTGATGTTTCAAATGAACCATTGTTTTTCTCTTTACACTGCAGAGTCTGATTATTCAGAAACATTTTTGCAACAATTTCCACGTGTAAATATATTTTAAATTTTAGTTTCCCAATAGTGTAAAGCATTTTTAGCATTATAAACTTGATGCATACACATTATGTCTATGTGCATGTGCAAGGTGGGTATATATGTGCATCTCTTTGTCATTAATTCCATACGCTGCTTTTGTGTTCACACAGTGTATTCAGAAAATCCCAAAATTTCCTTGTGTGGAGTTCTAGGTAGTAAAAAGTCATGGATTTTAATTGAATTATGGATTTATTCCCCCAGTGAAATCCTGAGGAATTGCTCTAAGAATTTGTATAGGGAGTGGCCTAATATTACATTTTCTAGAACATCTTTAAGGGATCAGAAGTCTTAAACTCATCTATGGCAGGTGAGGGCTAAGATTTTGCCCCTTTGTAGAATGCAAGTGCATGACGCATTCTTCAAGGTGAATAGCTTAGTATAATTTTATTATGCTTAACATATTGTCACTGTATCATAAACACATAAGGTGCATCTTTACTTAATAATTTTTTAAATGGTGAATTTGAATACCAAAACTCCAGCTATTGTGAATGCATATAAAATTATATGTTTTGCGCTATAATTTTTTGGACAAGAAATTATTTTCTTGTTATATCAATAAAGCTTTCTTTTACAGATATCCTCTCAATATACCAGATAATTTTTGTAATGTTTTTAATAATTATCTTAAATGAATATGATAGTCCATTTAAAAAAATATACAAAACCATCTGTCAAAACCTTTAACATGCATTCTGTGGTTCCAGATTCTGATTGGTTCCCTTTTAGATGTGAGTTGTGCCTGGCCTGTAAGTCTTTATGCCTTAATTGTAATGTGTGCTAAAGCAAATTGAGTATTAATAGGCTATTTATTACAGTTAAAGATATACCATGATAAATCACTCTTTCTGTGTTTTTGGAGGAAATGTACACAAGTGAATGAATACATACCGTCAGTTTAAAACAGTTTTTCACAACAGACAACATATGACATTCTTACCAAGGAAACTATTCTGCAGCCATTTCGCCCACAGGTGAAATGTGTTTGGAGTGTCCTAAATTTTGTATCATGTGTCTGTCTTTTCTGCTCTTCTCAGACTAGTAACACTCTTCATGGCAAGCCGGGTACACTATTAAGCTCCAAAAGAAAAATGTCATTAAATAGTGTATTAAAATACCCTGTTTTATTCATACAGTTGAACCAACAGGAAAATGTTCATTTTTGTAAGCATAGGATTACTAACAGAATGCCAACACTAAAGGTCAGTTTTGGAATGAGCTCTCATTTAATGAAGTTTACAAATAAGCATATCTTATATAAGGACAGAAAAATCAATTGTATATGAAAGTCATGCTTTTAAAGAAGTATGTTCTTTTTTAAAAATTAAAAAAAAATTACATAAACTTTTTTTTTGAGCTCTAAATCTGTGGTTTTTTTTTTTTCAGATTTTTTCCAAATGTGAAATGAAGGCAAAATGAAACAAAAATGTTTTTAAAAGGGAAATAAAGTGGGGAGATTATGTGAAAATATAGGAAAATGGAGGAGTCCAGATAGTTTAAATTTATTGAATAGAGAAAATGGTGCAAGAGAGCCTCTTTACTCTTATGTTCTTGGGTTCAAAGCCTTTATTCCTTGTGATTGGTGGAATCTTTTTGGTTACTAAGCTCCCTTGAACAAAATCTAAAATCAAATTAAGTCAAAATATGTGCAGTTATGAACCATCTCCTCTCAGAGTGGGATTTCGGTATATTTATTTTCCTTAAATATCAAAGAAATTATACAAGCTAAATAATTCTCAAAGCACCACATAAAGTTTAGACAGTTCTTTCCTTACAGAATATATATTTTTTTCAGTTCAGCGGTACATTTTATTACAAAATTTGACAGTAGCAACCAAGGAGAGAGAGGAAAGAAACCCCCAGAGACTCTTGATTCTCTTAGCTGACAAAAAAAAAAAGTGTCATTTTTTAGTAATTTTCCTTCTTTGCTGTGTTTATTCTGTATATGATCTGACTGAGACCAGACAAGGAAAGAAAAATACGTTTCATTTTTTTCTTCAACTAAAAGAAAGATTTGAAGTGTATTTACAGGTTATTTCCAGGGTAATTTCCCTTTTATTTTTAAACAGTAAGTTTTCTGAGATTCAGAATCAGCATCCAGTCCATATGTCATAAATACAAAGTTCCGAATGGTGAAGGAGGCACTGTTACCCTTGGAGACCGCGAATGATGCATGGGAGGATAGGGAAAGGAAGGATTCATACGAAGATTCCAAAACTAAGCTTGTGGGCTGTGGCTCAGGATGACAAGACTTAGAAGGAGAGGTGGACGTTTTACTCCTGTGAGCATCGTGCACCTTGCTGTGCTCCTGGGTCTGCTGATAAGTTGGGAGCCCCGAGATTTACGGAAAAGGCAGGAGAAAGCAAAGCATCTCGGTATAATCCATCTCATAGCCATCACAGAACAAGCATTAGCAAGTGGTAGTGACTTCATCAAGTTACTGTCTTAACAGTGACAAACCACAGGTTTTGTATCTCCAAGGAGAAACTAGGGTAGTTAATATGAAGAGCATAGACATAAAAGATCACAGTAGTGGTATTAATATCCTAGTGAACACACAAGACTGTGCTTGAGTGATGTTCATTTTAAGGTGTTTGACAAACAGAAGAAAGAATTCCAGGGAGCCCTGCCCTTTCTTGCATGTACTTTCAATAAAGGAAATGGTTTAAAATTTTAAAATATTAGATCATCCAGCACCTCGGATCTGTTTGAGGTTACCAACAAACATGATTCTTTTGTCCTTGTTTTTTTCTGCACCACCTTATATGACAGTGCTGTGAATAGCTGTAAAGAATCTCCTTTCAGCCTTAGCAAAGCCGTCAAATCTGCATCATTGGTAGGAACTTTAAAAAGTTTTGAGTTGATAATAACTGTATCTGTAAAGTATCTAGTTATGTTAGCTCATTACAAATCCCAGTCATTTTGCCTTCCTTGAGAATAATGAGTGTAGGAAGCTTTGTGATGATTTTTACGTGAAGAAGAAAAATATAGCATGTACCCATATATGTCTTGGTATTCATTTCAGAAAATAACAGGGTTTTTTTTGTTGTAGTACATGGTAAAAGATATGATGGAAACTGTAACAAGTTAATTAGATACTGCCTTCGTAGATAATTCTGGGTACGTTCTTAAGTAGCTGTGATCATTGAGGAAGTTTTTTTTTTTAATACCAGAGAGCCTGTTTGCCTTTACCTGATGTCCAGTTTTTGAAATTCACCCATTAAAACGGGAAGAATTTTCTTGCTTTCAGGATTTTGAAATCTATGTATGCAACTCTAACAATATATGTGGCTTGATTTTGCCTGTTTTGAACTTTATATGGCAGTATTTTGAGGTGTAATTATTTTGTGTGGTGTTACAGTCACTAAATATCCGGTTTATAAAATTCATCCAGGCCATCACACGTTGATGAGCTTTTACCTTTTATTATTGCATAATAGTCCCATTATGTGCATGTGTGTTACAGTGTGTTAATCCATTTGACTTTGGGCCTTGGGGTTGTTTACGTGTTTATAGGCCATTTGGATATTTCTTGCTGTGAAGTGTCTTTTCAGGTGTTTTGCCTGTTTTTTTTTTTTTTCCTTCATTGCGTTGTTTCTGGTTTTCTTCTTGATATTTTGGAGTTTATTTTGTATTGCAAGTATAAACCCTTTGTCAGTTTCATGTGTTGCAAACCCTTTTTCTATTCTGTGATAGCCATTCACTTTCTTCATCCTGTCTTTGATGATCATTTTAAAGTGGCCGATTTTTTGGTGTGTTTTTTTGTTTTGGTTTGTTTTTGCTTTATGGTTAGTGCTTTTGTGTTTTGTTTAAAAAATTTCCCAAGATTATAAAGAGACTCTCCTAGGTTACTGTGTTGTCCTCTTAAGGCTTTGCAGGTTTTTGTTGTTGTTTTTGTTTTGTTTTGTTTTAACATATAAGTCTGTAATTCACCTGGTGTTATTTTTTTGCCTAGTATGATAGGTATGGTCCAATTTTATTTATTCTTTGTAGATACCTAATTGTCTCATCTCTTGAAAGGTATATTTCCATATAATCTTTTCCCCTCAAATCCACAATGCTTCTTTTTCATAAGTTAAATATCCATATCTACATGGGTCTGTTTCTTTTTCCTTGTTCCTTGTCTGTCTCTTTGCCAGAACCAATCTGTCCTAATTATCAATGGCTTTATAATACACCTTATTATCTGGTAGAAGAACTGGTCATTTTTGTGGCTATTTAAAAATACCATGCCTCTTTGATTTTCACATAAATATTTTAATTACATGGTTCTACACACACACATACACACACCCAGAACTGTTAACATTTCAGTTTAGGACTGTGCTACATCAGTCCTAAAAAATGAAAAAAACTGCATTAAAAGTCCTAAAAAACTAAAACAAACAAACAAACAAAAACCTGCATTAAATCAATCCTAAAACATTTAGAGGAAAATTGACATTCTACAATATTATTTTTTCTAGTTCATGAAAATACTATATATCTGGATTTATTTACTTCTTATGTCTCAGTAAAAACTTAAAGAATTCTTCATACTATTTTTGGATTTATTGCTAGGAATTTGATAGTACCTTTATTTATTTTCATATTGATGACATTCAAAATTATGTTCTTCCTAATTCAAAATTCTAAAATCTTGCTAACTCACGTAACTATAAATTATTGGACATTTTTTTTAAATGCAGTCATATCGTTTTTCTTAAAACTTGTATACATTTTATTACTTCTTCTTGCCTTACTACACTGATGGCAGATTCTAGTAGTGTTCATTAGGAGCTATACTGGGCATCCTTTTCTTATTTCCAATCTCAAAGGGAAAGCTTTCAAAATTAAATATTGTACCTATGATAAGTGCTTTAAATACTTTTCTAGATGTAAGGAATTCCTTCTTAGAATTTTCTTACATTTTTATAATGAATTAATACTGAGTATTAACCAGTGCTTTGTCTGTCTGCACTGAAATGTTCATATGATTTATTTTTCTCCTGTAGTGTCTTAAGGTGGCAAAATACAAAGATGGATTTGCAACTTTTCTTTCTTGGTGCAAACACAACCTAGTTATGGTATAGTACCCTTTTTATATAATCCATGACTGATACCTTTGCAGACTTGCTGAGTGTTTTCTCACCTGTGTTCATAGGTGAAATGAGTCTATAACTTGTCTTTTTGATTTTATCCCTGTCAGTTTTTGATAAAAGGTGCATATTCTCTTTCTCAGTTTGAGAGGAAAATTTATATAAATTGAAATTGGTTTTTACTTGAGATTTTAGTAAAACTCTCTAGCGAAGACATTCAAGCCTGCGGTTTTCTTTCTGGGAAGATTTTTGTTATGACACCATTAATTGATTAATTGATTGCTATGATTGCTTAAATCATAATATAAATTAATGTATTTATGGTCATAA